TTAATTTTGACTTAATTTTCCATATTTCCAGATAAAAAACCATCCTCTCGCTTGTTTTGCCCAAAATTGAGTCAATTTTTTTGGCTTTTTTTGACGAAATTGTTGCAAATAATTTAATGGAAAAACCAAAAATTTGTGAAAACCTCCCAATTCTGCGAAATTTGTTTAACCACAACCCGGAAACAGCCAACCATTAAGTCTAATAATGGACAAAATTACGTTTCTTCAAGTGCATTATTAAAAACAAATAAATTTAAAGCAACATCTAATTTAATTAACCATGGCCTCGAGTCAAATGATTTTTATATAAAACTGACACGAGAAATGTGGATTTGTAGTCCAAATCAAACTACAAGATGAAGAGTTGGTTTTTCTTAATTTTGGGATTCACCCTAACTTGTGCTGTAAGTGTTTTTCGTCAAAACTAGACAAAAAAAGCGATAATTTCAGTTGGATCAAGAATTTCTTGACAAGTTTTTYGAAGAAATGCAGGAATTTGGCGCCCAATGTGCTGAAGAAACTGAAGCGACTTCAGGTAATCAATAATCGAGGCAAGTTTCAGTTTCAGTGAATAATTTCAGACGATATTGCCGAATTGATTGCTCGGAAACTTCCACCCAGCACCCATGAGGGCAAATGCATGATTTTCTGCATGCAGAAAAAATTCAAAATGGTACGTTTTTTCAGTTTCAGTTTCAGTTTTTTCAGTTTCAGTTTGTAAATTTATCACAGATGAAGGGAAATGGGAGCATTGATCGAGCTGGGGCCATAGCCGCCTTGAAACCGCTCCAAAAAGCCGATCCAGAATTGTATCAAAAGGTTTTGAAAATTTTTGTGACGTGTGGAATGAAAGGTGGGTTAATTTTTGCAAAACTTGATAAAAAATTAAAAATTTTAGTAAAACCATTGCCTGATCCTTGTGACACTGCAACCGAGTTGGCTTTATGTGCACAAAAGGAAGCTGAAGCTGTAGGTAGATTTTTTTTGTTTTTTTTTTTGATAACTTTTTTTTTCTAGATTGGTTTGGAAGATGCTCTACTCTGAATTTGAATTTGTTTTTTATATCTGTATCGTGTTGTAGAAATAAAGCATAAGAAAACTACTCGAATTTTTTGAAAGTCAAAAACGCATTTTTGCTGTAATAAATTTTTTAACTGTAAAAATTTAAGAAATTGTTTATTATTGTTTCTCTAAGTTTATGTTTAATAAAATAAATATATTGTAAAGTTTTGTTTTATTCGTTTTTTACTCAATTTTTATATATTTTGTCTTTGTCACTCAAATTTGTGCACAAAACTCACTTACTTCGTTAGATTTTGCTACAAAACGTCAAAAAATTACCAAATTTGAAAATTTACCCTGTTTCTGATTTTCTTCTTATTTTTGAAAATTTCCACAAAACTAGATGAAAATTGACGTTATTTTGGTCTTTTTTTGAAAAATTTAGCTCGATTCAAAAAATTATAAATTTTATAAGATGTCACAAAAAAGCCAAAATTTTTTAAAATTAAATCACAATTGGCGTTATTTAAGTATTTTCTTTTTTTTAAGAGAGAAACTGTTTTTTCTACCGAAATTCGACAAAAAATGCAAAAAACAGCAATTTTTTTAAAATTTCATTCGATTTAGTTGGTTTTCGAGCGAAAAATTTTTAGATCTTGTAAAGTTTTGCCAAAAATCACCAATTTAAATACAAATTAATTTTAATTCATTTTTGGCGAAGAATATTTGACTTGTTTCTCGATATTTTTTCAAAAAATTCTGAATTAAATCAAAATTAACGTTAATTAGTCTTGTTTCGAAAAATTTAGTTTGTTTTTTAGCCAGAAACTCACTTATTTTGTAAGGTTTGGTCAAAATGATCAAAACTTTAATAAATTATAGATTCAAATTGGTGTTATTTTGATCAATTTCGCTTAACTTTGGGCCAGAAACTCAGTTATATGTTGAGATTTTTTAAAAACGAGCTCAAAATTATTAAATTAGATGTTATTTTAAATTAATTGGAAAAATGTATATCATTTTTAAGCAAAGTTTCATCAAAAAAGAAACAAAAAAATCAAAATTGTGTTTATTTGAGCCCAATATTAATCGAAATTGATGTTTTTTGGCTTACTTTATGTTTTAATTAAAAAACGCACTCAATTTTTAATTAATGCAAAATTTACGATATTTTGGCTTTTTCACTCAAATTTGAGTACAAAACTCACTTTCCTTATAAGATTTTTCTACAAAAGATCAAAAAAATTCCAAATTTGATCAGAATTTACATTGTTTCGTATACTGTTTTATAAGTTTCTCTTTTTATTTCTCACAATTTCTACAAAAAAATTACAAATTTCATCAAAATTTCCTTAAAAATTGCCAAACTAGATAAAAATTGACGATATTTTGGTCTCTTTTGAAAAATTTTGCATGTTTTTGAATTAAAAACTTTCTTATTTTGTAAGATTTTGACAAAGAAAGTAAAATTTTTGTTTTAATTAAATCACAATTGGAATTATTTGAAGTAATTTTTTTTTTATTTTGCAAGAAACTCTTTTTACCTCTCGAAATTTGTCAAAAAAAAACAGCAAAATTATTTAGTTTATTTTGTTCGTTTTAGTCGATTTTCGAGCGAAAAATTTATATATTTCTAAAATTTTACCAAAAATCGAAATTGATGATTTTTTGGCTTACTTACACTTTTTGATAAAAAACGCACTCAATTTTTAATTAATGCAAAATTTACGATATTTTGCTTTTTCACTCAAATTTGAGCACAAAACCCACTTTCTTTAAAGATTTTTCTACAAAAGATCAAAAAAAATTCCAAATTTGATCAAAATTTACATTGTTTCGTATACTGTTTTATAAGTTTCTCTTTTTATTTCTCAGAATTTCCACAAAAAAATTACAAATTTTATCAAAATTTAAAATTGCCAAACTAGATAAAAATTGACGTTGTTTTGGTCTCTTTTGAAAAATTTAGCTTGTTTTTGAATTAGAAACTTTCTTATTTTGTAAGATTTTGTCAAAGA